TCAGACGGTTTCTCAGCTGTGGATGGGCAAGTCCTCAAAATAAATGGAGTAAAATTAATTGCAAAATCTCTTCTCTTTACAGCCACAAGACAGCAGCTGTTTAAAGCTGTTGAGTTTTCAACGACCTTGAATTCAGGGTGCTGAGGTGCTGAGTTCTGCCAGCTCGGCAGTACAGTGTTTTTCAAGGCAACGTGCGTGAGGTTAGCAGTCAGGGAGTTCAGCAAGCTTTGCCTTGCACAGCAAAGATTCCTAGAATTAGCAACAACAGTAAAAAATATGTTTTGGGGACCTGTAGTACCCATGAGGGTTTTTGAATTCTGATGATAAAGAAAGGCTGATCCTGAGTATTTACAGGTGTGCTGCTGCACTGTGCTTGTGCTGTAAGAATGAATACAGAGTCAGCAGGATAAGGAACCATGTTTGCTAACATTATAATGAATAAAAAATAGCTACATATGTACTTAAAGATGCATATTAAAATCAGAGGAATGTTTTATGTGTAGTAATAGGTACATTTAAAATCACTCTTCCTTTGTAGGCAACACCACTGCTTTCTCTGGGTTTGTCGAGTTAGAAGTGTTTGGTGCTTCATAAATGGAAGGGGCTTTTAAAACACATGCATATACATACACTTGGGGCTGTTCAGCCCAGAAAAGAGGAGGTTGCATGGAGACCTCAGAGCAGCCTTCCAGTATCTGAAGGGGTTGTGCAGGAGTTCATGTACAAAGAGGCGACGCCAATATTATCTTCGTGAATGTCTCGTGACTGACTTTATTCTTTACAAAAGTGATTCTTTTATACACACCTATTATAAGCGTCCACTAGTCATTGGTTAACTACTATTACTAGCCACCTTACACACAACATAATTGGTTGTTAACATATCAGTCATAAGATGCTTAACCCTTATTCTCCACTCCTAAGTATCTTCAGCTTCTGCATCCCACAGCCAGGAGCTGCTTATCTCGCTACCTCCTTTCTCACATTCCAGCTGCAGCTGTGTCCTTGAGCAGCTTAGCTTGCAGCTTGCTCAGGCCCTGCTAGCAAGGCTGGATTGCTCACATGTCCATTAGCAATCAGAAATTCTCCCACAAATCCCCCATTTGTTTTTGAGCAATCCAGACTTGCTTCACAGTTTTACTAGTCCTTCCAGAAATTATTCTTAAAACACATGGTATCAACATCAACAATAAACATATAGTAAGCAAAATAATTAACCTTATTTTAACTAAATCTTTAGCCCACCCAGAATATACTTTATTTTGGGCACCTAACAATATTTATAGTATAAAGTCTCCCGTACGTGCAGCTACAAACTGATCACACAACTTGTGACTGACTGCTCTGCTTGTCGATACGTACAGTTCTTACTTATGATAGGTTACAAGCTTAAGCTGCATCCTGCTCTTACATCCTGAGAAACTGACAGCAAGGATTGCATAGTATATATGAGAATCTAAATAACAGCACTCTTGTAGCTTGTTAGCAAAATGACTTGTCTGTAAGACAGTAAAACTAAACCAGACCTAAAAACCCTGGCAGCAGGAGAAAATAAGACCATTATAAAGTGCTGGATTGAAGACACAGGAATGCGTGAAAATAGAAACAAGGTCAGCAGACCTACTTTGTGTATCTTGTTTTGATTGCTTAAGCATTCCTGTAACTGTTGCTCAAGTTACAGCTCCTCAGCTGGCCAGGCCTTAGCAGGGTTACAGTGGAGCTGGAGAGGGACTCTTTGTTTGGAGCTGCAGTGACAGGACCAGGGGCAGTGGTACAGATTGAAAGAGGGGAAATTTAGGTTAGATATTAGGAAAAAGTTTTTTCCTAGGAGGACTGGAACAGGTTGCCCAGGGAAGGTGCGGGTGCCCCAGCCCTGGCAATGTTCAAAGCCAGGCTGGATGAAGCCTTGAGCACCCTGGTCTAGTGGGGAGGTGTCCCTGCCCATGGCAGGGGGTTAGAACTAGATGATCTGTAAGGTCCATTTCAACTCCTAAAGTTTTATGATTCTATACAGGTTTTGTTTGATGGATTTATGTTGCTTATACAGTGTGAATGCTAGAATAAGAAAATGAGAGGATTCATTGTGTTTGCTTTATCAACAGTGTTTGTTAACAATCCTTATGATATTGTTCCTCCACATGGCTGCATTGTTTAAATAGGAAATTGGGCAACTTTCAGACCTAAGTCTGCTACCTTGGAAATTAGTAGAGGCAAAATTAATTTATTAATTGATTAAACAGTTATTAATATAGCTGCTTTTATATCAGGTACTTTTTAAGATTGTAATGGTGCTTGATGTAATCTTTAGGAAATGTCAACTTTCTACTTCAGAAAATTCTTATTATATGACATGGAAAACTTCTTTTCTTATTTGCAGCCAGCTGTGACTGAGGTGAACACGGGAGTGGCGACAGGTTTCTTTTTGACTGTGTGAACACTATGGGAAGCACAGCTGTGGAGTCTGGAATGGAGGAGATCCCAGTGAAAGTTGCAGTTCGAGTCAGACCTCTGCTTTCCAAAGAAATACTTCACAACCACCGAGATTGTGTCAGATTAGTCCCAAATGCAAACCAAATCATCATTGGAAAGGGCCATGTCTTCACTTTTGATTTTGTATTCAGCAAAAGCTCAACCCAAGAAGAAGTCTATACTGTCTGCATTAAGCCTCTTCTGGTGTCTTTGATTGAGGGATACAATGCTACAGTGTTTGCGTACGGACAGACAGGTTCTGGGAAGACTTACACCATTGGCAGTGACCCCATTGGTAAGTTATAGGAACTTTGGGGTTTTTTTTAAATTGGTGAACACTGTGTCTGTGCAAGTTGAATATTTATTGCATAGGAAATGATGCTGAATAATTTTAAGGGCTAATGAAAAAAAGGTTTAGGTAAAGGAAAAGCTTCCAAAGTTTATGTGATAATGAAACTGCTCTAAAACCTTCTCCATATATTATGCTATACCAAAAGTATCAAAGAAAAAAATAATTTATAAAGTGCTCTTTCACATTCCCCATCTTAACATGCAACATAAACTAGAATTTCTTTCTGAAATAGTCTTTTACATATTTTTGCTACCTTTATCCTACCTTGAAAATGTCTGCATTAGGCAATTGTTTGCTTGCTCAGTCTATGTTGGGTTTGATGTTTTGTTGGTTTTTTTCTCCTGTGACATCAAAGAAATTTATTATTTAATTCTTCCAAATGAATATAAATAGATTATTCTAAATCTTTTGATAGGTATCAAAATCTTCCTTTCATCTAGAGTCACAGAATCATTTAGGCTGGAAAAGACCCTTAGGACAATAAGGTCCGACCATTAAAGCAGCATTGCCAAGTCTGCCACTAAACCATGTCCCTAAGTGCCACATCCGTATGACTTTTAAATCCCTCCAGGAATGATGACTCAGCCACTTCCCTGAGTGACCTGATCCAGTGTTTGACCACCCTTTCCATGATGAAATTTTTCATATCCAATCTAAACCTCCTCTGGTGCAACTTGAGGCCATTTCCTCTTGTCATGACACTTGTTATCTGGAAGAAGAGGCTGATGCCACTTGGCCACAACCTCCTTTCAGGTAGTTGTAGAGAGTGATAAGGTCTCTCCCGTGTGTCCTTTTCTCCAGGCTAAAGAAACCCAACTCCCTCAGCTGCTCTCTTAACCAACTCCATTGAGGTGTGGCCTCACCAGTGCTGAGTACAGAGGGACAATCACATCCTTACTCCTGCTGGCCAATCTAGGGCTGTTCATAGCTCAGCAATTTTAGTTTTATACATAGATTTACTAAATTGATAGTTAGACGTGAGCAACCCTTTAGTGTTTTTGTAAAAGAGATTCTTGGCATCCTCTCACGGACAAAGCAGTAAGTTCCTATCTCTTAGATAAAGAACACAGCTTATTTATGGAAGCATTGTCCTATGTTGAATATTTAAAAAATAAAACTAGAGTTTGGCATTTGTATTCCTTGTCTGTACTGAAAAAATAGGAAAGTTACTGTAAATGTTGGTCAGAAATCTTGTCTCATCAAATTACTGATTTTTGATTTATTTAAATAGAATTTATAGTTTCTCAAACCCTTGAGATGTCATTGCCGACCATAATGAGTAAGGATAAAGAAGAAATCTGTACTCTGAGGAGTATAGTTTTAAAGGAGACTGCATATTTTTATATGTTTCATGACTACAACATTATGTAATTTAGAACTTAACTCTGAATGCCTTTAATTGGATACAAACAAATATTGTGAGCCCCAGAAAAAAACAAATATTTACAAAAATCCTTGAGCACACTGAGTTCTTCCGATTCCTTAGTGTGTTAAGTACCAAATCTCACAGATTTACCTTAATTTTCAGTCTTTGTAATCAATGTGGCAGAATGACTGCAAGCTTCTGTGGCATCTGTGCTTGTATTTCAGCATCAGTTGCAGTGGATGAAAAGGGCATAATCCCACGTGCTATTCAGGAATTATTTCATCATATTTCTGAAAGCCCTAATATTAAGTTCCGTGTGAAAGTATCTTATATAGAGATTCACAAGGAAAAACTTCGAGATTTGTTGGAGTTGGAGACCTCTGTGAAAGAACTGCATATACGAGAAGATGAGAAGGGAAATACAGGTAGGATTTCAGCCCTAAAATCTGGCATGTTGGGTTTCAATTGTGTGCCCAAGTTACTCTTGCCTTCTCCTGAAAGTTATTCTTGCCTTCTCTTACTCATTACTAATACTAAGAAAAAAAAGTTTCACAATATAAACTCAGTTTAGCCAATTTGAAGCAGTTTTGGGTTTAGATCCCTGTCAGCAATGTAAATGTTTTAAACTATTTCTTTTCTTCAGTACAGTTTGAGTCAGCTTCAGTAGATTGTGCTAGGATATTTTCCATCCTTCATTAAAGGAAAAATATGAAAAAAGTATTCTTGGTAGGAGTATTTGGTAGAAGTACACTTCCACATCATTACATTACTAACAGATGCCTGTCAAAAAAGCCCAGTTATCTGAGCTATATAGAATAGAAATACTGTTCTTACCATAGGCTGGGAATAATTTTTTCTAAAATCTTCATTGGTTTTAGCCTTTTGTTTTAACTGGCAAAGTATCCTTTGATCTGACTTTGCTCATACTTTTTCTGGCTAGCACTAGATCGGAGATTGCATAGGGCAATGTGCAATGTGTAAATGAGTTGTGTATTGTGTCTAAGATATTGTTTCAGTTGCTGTGACACAATACACCCATATATTAAATATCTGCAGAGGTCAGATATGTTGTACCTCATGCTTTTCACATATTGCTGTCTTCTTTATCTATAGCTATACTCTGTGACCTCATAATAATGCAGGATTGTATGTTTCTCTAATATATGTTTATATTTATTGCTTTAAACTTTTACTGGAGAGTTTAAAATTAATTGAATTATTCTTACTTTCACATGGTTTGCTGTTTGAAGTGATTGTTGGTGCGAAGGAATTCCAAGTAGAATGTGCAGATGAAGTGATAAGCCTGCTGGAAAGTGGCAGTGCAGCTCGTCACAAAGGCACAACACGGATGAATGAGCACTCTAGTCGATCTCATGCCATTTTTACCATCAGTATTTGTCAGAAACAGTCTGCAGGGTCTCCAGAAAATACTGATGCTGCACAGGATGCATCTTGGAAATCAGCCCAGGTGATTACTTCAAAGATGCATTTTGTGGATTTGGCAGGATCAGAGAGGTTTGCAAAGACTGGAAATACTGGTGAACACTTCAAAGAATCAATTCAGATCAATTGTGGCCTCCTAGCCTTGGGAAATGTCATCACTGCCCTGGGAGACCCAAAAAGGAAAAATGTACATATTCCATACAGGGATTCTAAAATCACTCGTATTCTGAAAGACTCCCTTGGAGGAAATGCCAAGACTGTCATGATAACATGTATAAGTCCATCCTCATCAGAATCTGATGAATCTTTAAATTCCCTGAGATATGCCAGCAAAGCCAAAAACATCAGAAATAAACCAGTTGTAAATTACAACCCCGAAAAGGACTGCATTGATGAAATGGAACTTGAAATCAGATTGCTTCGGGAAGCTTTGCAGAACCAGCAGGCCAGTAATCAGTGTTCACATGGCCTAACTGAAGAAAGAGCTCGTATCACTTCACTTGAGGATCAGCTCACCCGCCTACAGGTTCAGTGTTCCAGTTACAGAAATTGTGTCGATGAGGCCTTCCTGTTTCTGGCTAATTTGAATGATGATGTTAGCTTAAGAAGAAGTCAGCAGGACAGGTTGCAGAGCTGGATCACCATGGCACAGAAAGTAAGGAAGGAAGCTCTCACCATCCAGGAGACTGACCCCGGGACTGAGACCAGCGAACAGCCACACCATGTCACAATTCTGCAGCGAAAGGGGGAACTAAAGAAATGCCAGGTATTTAATTATGTTGATAATTTAAATAACTGAGTGAAAAAGCAATCTGCCAAAACTTGAATTCCATTTTGAAATAGGTATAAAACTCTCACCCGTACTTAATGTGACAATTTAATTTACAATTTTGTATCATTTTGTTTGCTTAATCTCTGGGACATAGCTTTATTTTAATGGATAATTGCATGGACAGTCATGTCTATGCAGTGATGACAGAGATAAGTAATGTTACATTTTGGCTAGGCAGTTTCAAGATTACTCTATGGGGCTGAGCTGTTTTATCTGTTAGATATTTGACCTTAGCTGTGCTGGTGTCCTAGGTCTGGCTGAGATGGAGTTAGTTTTCTTTATAGCAGTTCATAGGGTACTGTGTCTTAAATTTGTGACCAATACAATGCTGATAGCAGACTAATGTTTTATGTCTTGCTGAACAGTGTGTGCACAGCATTAGGCCTTCTCTGTTCCCTTCTGCATGCCTGGTGAATAGATTGGTGGGTGCACAAATGATTGGAGATACGCACATAGACACAACCAAGCAGACGATCTGAACTACCCAAAGAGATATTTCGTGCCATTTAACATCATGCTCAGCAATAGAAGGGGAGAGGAGGAGGTTAAGGGAGATTAGCTATACCTTGCTTGGGAAATGGCTGAGCTTCAGTCAGCCTTGGTACATGATAGACCTTTGCATCATTTGTTTTGTTTTATTTTCTTTCTGTCTTCCACTTTACCTTCACTTACTGAACAATTTCTATCTTGACACACAAATTTTATTGCTTTCACTCTTCCTTTGCTCTTCCTCCATCCCATTGTGGGAGAGGGAGGGGAGAAAGAAGAGAAGTGAGAGGGCAGCTGTGTATGCTTACTGGGCACCCAACAGTCTTTTCTGGCAACTCTTACACTTGTTCAGTTGAGTTGTTATTTGAGTGACTTGTAGGTCATGAAGCTGCATGTTTGCTTTGCTGCATGTTCAAGGCAAGTTGTTTGTTGCCTTGAATATTCAGATGGATTCCTTTCCAGCTGTATTATAGCCTCCAAGGATCATTCATGACTGTTCTCAAATTTTGCTGGTTTGTGTGCTGTTTATCACTTTGCATTCCTTTGCTTGGGAGAGCTATGACAAAATCACTGGCCTTCACCCTAATCTGGTATTTGGGTCTTAGATTGTGGGTGTCCCAATACTCCACGAACCATCTCATAGATAAAACTTGCAGTTATACCTTTCCACTCTTCTCCTCTGAGAGACATTTTGTGAAGAGAGGGCAAAAATGGCAACTATCCCATCCTCTCCTCCAGGGTAGCTTTATTATAGCCTTGATGTAATGGCTTCCTGATATAATCAGACGGGTCATGTGATCCCAATTTTGATCATTATTCATAAGGTTAAACAGCTAACCAGGATGCTGCACAGGAACATGTTCTAAAGGGATTGATGCCTGGGGTGGCTGCGTGTATGGGAGGAGTTGGGCAGGCGTAGAGAGCTGTTACATCTTGGGATTTCATGTGTGAACAGGCTGGTCAATCCATCACAGAATCAGTTAGGTTGGAAGGCACCACGGCGAGTCATGTGGTCCAGCCTCCCTACTCCAGCAGGGCCATCCTAGAGTACCTGGCACAGGATTGCATCCAGATGGTTCTTGAATATGCCCAGTGTTGGAGAATTCATGACCTCTCTGGGCAATCTGTTCCAGTGCACAGTGACTCGCATAGTGAAGAAGTTCTTCCTTGTATTCAGGTGGAACTTCCTGTGCATCAGATTTCGCCTGTTTCCTCTTGTGTTGTTGGTTTCCACAAGTGAGAAGAGTCTGGCTCCATCCTTTTGGCACCTCACATTCACATACTTGTATACATTAATGAGGTTCCTCTCAGTCATCTCTTCTTGAAACTGGACAGGCACAACCCCCTTAGCCCTTCCCCATAAGCGAAGTGCTCCAGTCCCTTAATCAGTTTTTTTTGC